GGGAAGAATATAAATAATTCAGTTTGTTCCACTGCAAACAGTCCACGTGTCAGAGCAGAGGCTGGAATACAACTTCTTGTACAAGTCTTAATTGGTTTGTTTAGGGTGAGGGCCTAGAGGCTGTGTCTGGGGCCTAGAGGGTTACCACTGCCCTACTGCAAGCCGGATCTGCAGCCCAGCCTGGAGGAGCAGGCAGGGCTCCCCAGCCTGCCCACTTTGCTTAGGGTCTTGACAATTCATTCTTGTAGCAGCAGCGCCACCTGGTGGTTGCATCTGGAGCCTGCCCTTCCTTTTCCTTCTGTCTAGAGGTGGACTTACCTGGGGGACAGAACTTCTTTCTGACCTTTGTATGGCTTCCACCTCCACCTCTCCTACTTGTGGGTTTTAGAGTCAATGGCTTTCATGGTATGAGATGCAGTTTCTCATCTGGGAGTTAGGATAGTGACAGCACTTATGGCTTAGGCATATCTGACATTTCAATGAGATACGTTCAAGGCTTAGTCTCAAAGAACCAGAAGGCCATGAGCACACAGGAAGAATTGGTTGTTGCCACCAGCACTGAGATCCATTCTTGCTGGTGAGCCCTTTTCAGGAGTTCCTGGTGATGTTCCTGCAGCCAGCCCTCTTCATTTAGACACGTCTGTCCTTCCTGCAGTCTTTGAGGCTCTGTACTCCCCTCCCTGTCCCAGCATTCATTCCTTCCCTTAGTGATAAACATGTATGTATGATAAACATGAACAGCCCTGTATAGCAAGCAGTGTGTCTAGACAGGGACCATGTAACAATTGGCTTCATGTTGAAACGGGGGTCTTGGGTAGCAAAGCCCACACTAGGAGGATGGCCACTCACCTTTAGGTCCCTGTGGGGTATTCAGTGAGCCTCCTTAGCAGCCCCAATGCTTCAAGATTGGATGCATCAATGAGAAGGAAAGGCTCAGCTCCCCGACCAGGGCTTCTATGCCCTGACTCATGGGCCCAGTTTCCACAACTGCACACTGAAGGCACAGTGGCTCTGGCGCATCTAGGGTCTCCACACTGGGGTCAAAGTTATGGAACTGTTGTCACTGTGAAGAGCCATGCCCCAGAATGCCAGCCCTCATTCCATTAGGTGGTAGACCCTCCATCTACCACTCAGCCTTGGGGAATGGGTATGCCATATCCACTTTCAAACAGTGTCTGCTCCAGCCCCCAAGCTCCTCCTCACAGGCCTACAGAGTCAGCCAGCCCTCCCCTGAAGGATTGTCTCCTGCACACTCATCCTCACTCTGCACAGCTGTGAGCAGGTACACAGAGACTTTCCTAGAAAACACCAATGCAAAGATGAGTAGGAGCCAGGTATTGGATGCTTCCAGAGCTGAGAGGAAGACAGGTGGCCAAGACCAACGAAACAAACAGCTCTCAGAGCCTTTGCGACTCCCACAAGAGATCCAGACTTCAGAAACAGGGAGGGTTCCCTTATCTTTGGTGTTACTTTCCACTCAGAATACCTGCCATCTGTGATGTGAAAATATTAAGTGGAAAAATCCAGAAACAAAAAGTTTACCACATTTAAATTGCACGCTGTTCCAGGGAACTTGCTAAAATAAGGCACCGTCTCTCTCCATCCTGCCAGAATTATCACCTCATCCAGGTGCAGAGGTAGATACCCATGATGAAAATGAGCTAGAGAGAAGCCATCAAGTGCTTGCAAGGGTCAAAGTTTATTGTAAGTGTGCGTATATAGGAAAAATACAGTGTATATAGGGTCAATACTCTGTGGTTTCCAGCACCCACTGGGGACCCAGGGTTTCCAGCGGGGCTCCTGCAACTGGCCCAATGGCAATTAGACTGCCTCTGGCAGTTGGTACCTTGCCCTGCTCACAGCCAGCTTGTGCCTCCTTCCAGGGATCCAAAACTGCCCAGTTGTCCCAGATATCTCTGCCTCAAGAAGAGCTTTTTAAAAAGTATTTTTAAAAAATTGTGTGTATGTGTGTGGAGGTAGTTAGGGGTTGGTATATGTATGAGAATATATTCATGAAAAAAAAAATCAGGGACCAGAGGGTTCCTTGGAGCTGAAGCTACAGGTGGTTGTGCACTCGGGTCCTCTGCAAGAGCAGTATGTGCTCTTGACCACTGATCCATCTCTCCAAACTCCCAAGAGGAATCTTTAAGGACACATGGAGCAAGGCCACTGACGGGTCCCATGACATGGGGGGGGGGAGTAGGATGAAGGAAAGGGGCCCGGGGAAGAAGGCAGAAACCTCTTTGTGCTTCTAAGGCATGTCAGCTGAGTTTTCAGACCCTTAAGCCCCTGTTCTATTAGCTTAGCTTAGGTTCCAGGCTGACCCTTGGCCTGGAGAAAGAGTATCTGGTCTGTTCAGTACTGGGTTCTGTACCCCAGGAAGCAGGGAAGAGGTACTCCCTGGAGGTTTCACCAGGTGAGCAGACTGTATGAGAAATGCCATCCTTTCATGATGGATTGTCCCCAGTACTGTGACCAGATGGATCCCAGACCCTCCCCGCTAAGCCATCAGGCACTCCCCACACACCCTCCCCCTTGTGTCCACTACCATCCTGCACCAAGGCCAGAAACCACCCATCCTGCACCAAGGCCAGAAACCACCTTCATCCTTGCCTTATTGTCTCCACCCCCTGCCCTGATGTCTCCTACCTCCTGATACACCCAGATGTTGAATCCACCCCCCATCCCTGTCAGTACAATGGCCACACTTGCTTCCCCTTCCTGACTCCACCCTTTCTGGCAAGAACCAGCTCTTTCTAAAATTCACATGGATCCTGTCCTTACCACTGGATGCAATATTGATGTCTTGTCACAGGCTAGCCTTTGGGCAGGACACTCTGTGACCCCCTAAAATGCTCCAGATCCAGTAAGAACAAGAAAACTATCCCTTGGGACCTTGGTGCCTGCTTAAGATAGGCCAAACCTTGAAAAGGTTGGGAGAAAATACAGTTGGTTCTCCACACCCCCAGCCCTGCTTCTGCCAATTCCACCAACTACAGATGGAGGATAATCAGGAGGAAACATGACATCTGTATTGAGCATATGTAGGCTTTTATCTTGTTGTTATTCCCTAAACAATCAGTATAACAACTATGCACTCAGCACTTATACTGTGGTATATGGTATAAGTCATTTGGAGTTGCTGTAAAGGATACAGAAGGAGGTGTGAGGTTCTATGTAAATGTTGCATCCTTTTATAGAAGGGACGTGAGAATTTACCAATGTGGTATCTGCTGGAGTACTAAAAACACTCCCCCAGCAGATATCAAGGGATGGCCATATATGCACTTACCTTGTCGCTTAGGGGTGCCTGGATGCTTTACTTCTTGGGGTGCCTGCCTGCACATCAAAGCTCACAGGGCACATCACATAGTTGCTGTTTTCTGAAGTCCTGCTTTTCTGGGGTCCCCAGTGCAGCTCTTTTCTGGGACAATGTTCCCCAAATCTGCCTCTATCCTGCCCTTTAGAGATCTTTCTTGGGATTCCAAAGCTAGGAAATGGGTCTTAGACCTCTTGAGCTCTGCCCCATAGCATGAACCCCTTGGGGCTGGGGAGCGCTGGTAACAGTCTGCCTTCTTGGAACAGACAGAGAACAAAACAAGACAAGAACAAAAACACAAATCAATATTTCAATAAATTATCCTGCCACGGCAGTGAAATCACCTTGTCTGCCAAGAGAGACTCAGGAATGGAGCCCAGCATTAAGGAAAGGATGCAATCAGCGGTGTCCAATCTGCAACGTGGTGGGGGGTTCTGTCCACTGCATTGTCTTCAAGGTGGGGAGGGGCTTCTTCCACGAGAAGAACTGCCTTTATTCAGAAATTCTTAAATGAGTGACTTGGGGAGAGGGGTGGAATTTCATCTGTCCACTAAAGCCATTTTCGTTCAAACCAACCAACTATTGGGTTGGGAGGTGCTAGGGAATTGAACCCAGGTTTTTGTGTTCTGGGATGGCACTGTACCCACTGAGCTTGAAAACTTTACATTGATGGTAGACTCATCCAAGACATTTGGTCTGGCAAGCCTGGGCCTCTGTTCTTGAATGCCAGCCATGGGCCAGTATTCAGTGAACATGACCCCTGAAGATGCCCAGAACCTCTTGAGGGTGGGGAGGAGGTTCTGTCTGCATAGTATTGACCCATTTGCTCTTACCCTGCATCAACCTGGCTCCTGCCTCCTGTCCTGTCCCCTCCTGTTCGCTGGCCCTAATACCCGAGTGTATATTCCTGGCTGGGTTCTTCAGTCTCTTCAAAGACTTGGCCGGAGCTCTTCTCCCACACTGGTGTAGGCCATGCCAGTCAGCTAGCTGCTGTCTTTCACTTGCTAGCTAGGGCCCTTGCCTGGAGTGCTCAGGGCTTCCATAAAAGAGGGAGCTCAGAATTCTTTTGGATTCAAGTGACAGTGATACACCTCAGAATTGCTTGACTCCTAAATAAGGCAAGTGGGAAAGGCAGCCCGGTAGTCCCTAGGGCCATGGTGTGGTAGCCTCCCCTGTTTGTAGGTAGGACTGAGAATGGTTAATAGAACAAACCTTTGTGTTCAACATGCATGCATTCTTTTGTTGTCTCTTCAGTCATTAGTACCAGAGAAAGCAAACTGCCCATTGTGAGCTGTCTGTAGAAGGGCCTGGGTGGCATGGTGAGGATCCCACCTCCTACACCATTTGACAGACTAGGGCAAATGGGGTCCTGCTTCTAACTTCGGAATGAGCTTGGTAGGGAGATGGCCTGGCCCCAGAGGAGACTTGAGACAAGCCTGCAGCCCCACTTCCCGCTTGACAGTGTGGAGACTCATGCAGGTGAGGGTGACCTAGAACCTTCTCTTCCATTCAGAAGAACAGGGCTGAATGGAGGGCCAGGCCTGGGAGTGACTGGCAGGAAGCCGAGTGGCCTCTGGACCAGATCCCCAATGGCTGGGCTCTGTCGGCACAACTAGCTCTTCAGCCGCTAGTAACCTGCCAGACACCACTGCATTCTTCTGTCTTTCTCCACCCACTGTAGTCCATGAACCTCATTGAAATTGGAAACCCCTCTCAGAGTCTGGAAAACGTCTGCCGCTGGGCCTACCTCCAGCAGAAGCCGGACACCGACCACGATGAGTACCACGATCATGCCATTTTCCTCACACGCCAGGACTTCGGGCCCTCGGGCATGCAAGGTTAGTGCTATGCCTCAAATGCTGGGAAAGAAGCCGGAGCCAGCAAGAGGCTCCCAACAGGTGAAGCCTAGTCTAGAGCAGAGGGGCAGGGTGTGGAGGGGAAGGGCTGTGGCTACTTTAGCTGCATGAGTGGTTGGCAGTATTGACCTTCTGGCTCCAGAAAATCACCAGAGCCTGTATCATTTCCCTGGCCCCCATCTCACCCCCTCCAAAAAACAAACAACAGCAGAAAACCACAACAACGGAGAAGTAGTGGCACACGCCTTTAATCCCTGCACTCTGGAGGCAGAGACAGACAGATCTCTGTGAGTTCCAGACCAGCCTGGTCTACAGAGTGAGTTCTGGGACAGGCTCTAAAGCTACAGAGAAACCCTGTTTCGAAAAACCAAAAAACCCAAACAAACAAACAAAAATACAACAAAAAAACATGTTGCCCTGAATAACAGAGGAAGGTCAGGAATGGGTGTCTAGACCAGACCAGATAGGGTTTGACAGCCTGAAGATGAGACCATGTCCAGAGTCTAGACTTCAGAGTTAAGTTTCTTCCCTGGATTCTGATAGGTTACCAACTGATTCTTTACACGAGGGCTCAAACTACATATAATCCAACAGATATAAAAGAAAAAAATTGACCAAACTATATGGTTGAAGATGTTACTAGACACCACAGATGAGAAAATGAATGAAGACAGTAGTTTTGGGCTAATGAAGCAAGATGGCTCAGCTGGTAAAGGCACTTGCTGCCAAGCCAGAGGACACGAGTTCAATCCTTGGGATCAATATAGTGGGAGGAGAGAAGAAACTTCTACACAGGTGTTGTGGCGCGCGCGCGCACACGCACGCACACACGCACACACACACACACACACACACACACACACACACACACACGCACACACACGCACGCACACACGCACACACCAATGCAATTTTAAAGCCTTTGTATAAAGCTAACATCATAACAAATTGATATTTATAGCTATTATTAAGAAGAAGGTTGAAAAATAAATCACAGATGCACATGTCTCAAGTAATTTGGCAAAGAGCAACCAAAGAAACCCAGCGGTGTCGAAGGATGGAAATGGAATAGTCAAAGCTCAGCGAGAAGCAGAGACAGTTCACAGGGTGAGGAAGAGCGAGCAGGAAGGAAGCTGCCGAGGTGACAGACAAGGCCCAGCAGAGACCTGTGCCAGTCGCAGTGTGGGCTGTGCCAAGCTGGTGATGGGCAGGAGGCCTGCTGTCAGCTCTGCTGTCTTCTGAGTCCCACCAACAGGGGGCAGTTGATCCTGTAGGATTGCTTTAGGGATGGGTCCTATCTGGGATTTTGAGATCTGGGGCTGTCTGGGGGTAGAACTCCAGGCCTGGAGGCTGGAGCCACCTTCTGTCTCCTCCCAGGCTATGCTCCTGTCACTGGGATGTGCCACCCTGTCCGCAGCTGCACCCTGAACCATGAGGATGGCTTCTCCTCGGCATTTGTGGTGGCTCATGAGACTGGCCATGTGTAAGTGGCCTGACCCATCCTTGTATGGAGAAATCGGATCCTTTACTCCTGGCTGACCACTTTTCCCTGCGCCTAAGAGGGACAGCCATGTAGAAAAGCCACTTTGACGTGTTTTCCTGAAGTTCTGGCCTGAGGTCAGCTTTCTGCTGACAGAACAAATCAAATCAAAGACAAAAAAGCACCTGGGGGCAGAGTGAGCTCTGGGTATAAGGGAGCCAAGGGCCTTGTGCCATTATCCCATTCAAGTCCTGGGGTCAGGACTTTTTGTATAGGGGTCCACCAAGGCTCTGTGGGAGGGTAGCCCAGGGTCAAAAAGCCAGGACTCTTCCCAGGTGTGCATATTACAGGCATCAGTAGAGACCCTGAGTCTCAGGGCAAGATAAGCATTTATGGGTTTTGCAGAGCTGATGGGTATATGCAAGAAGGAGTGTCCTGGATGCTCTGGGCTATAGACAGCCCTACCCGCACTGTGCATTCAGGAAATAGTGGCCCTCCTTGGGGACACGATGAAGGATGCCTGGTAGCTATCCTCTTCACAGAGTAGCACTGGCTTCAAGACTCTAGTCAAAGTGGATCGGAGTAGAGACGCTCCAAGATATCCCCTATGGTTGTTAGAAATGCCTTCCTGGTTGAGGGGTGGGGACATGGCCGGGTCAGGGCACTCAGGCAAGGGTCCAGCCAGGCTGCCTTGGTCCCCATACAGGCTAGGCATGGAGCATGATGGGCAGGGCAACCGCTGCGGTGACGAGGTGCGGCTGGGCAGTATCATGGCACCCTTGGTACAGGCTGCCTTCCATCGCTTCCACTGGTCCCGCTGCAGCCAGCAGGAGCTTGGCCGATACCTACAGTGAGTACCTCCCTGAGCCCCCAAGGGTGATCCCTCCTTGGGTTCAGTTCTAAGAGGGCACAGTGCCCAGTGTGCCTGGGTCCAGCCTGAACCCTCAGATCTTGAGGCCTCTGAGATGAGTGAGAGATCCTGGTGCCCAGAGAAGACCCCACTTTGGAGTGGGGGGGTTCCAACACTGACACTGAATAGACCAGAAGCTGCCCTAGCCAGGTCTTGACATCTCAAACTCGTGGAGGAGGCAAACTGAGGCATCACAACTAAAGACCAGGGTTATGAAGTCTTGCCCACCATCCTAACTCCAGCATGGATCTCAGCTCCCCCACTGAAGGTTGTTTGTGGCACCCACGTGTCCCCCTACAGTTCCTATGACTGCCTGCGTGACGACCCCTTCGCCCATGACTGGCCGGCTTTGCCTCAGCTCCCAGGGCTGCACTATTCCATGAACGAGCAGTGTCGATTCGACTTTGGCCTGGGCTACATGATGTGCACTGCGGTGAGTGCAGGGACACAGCGAGTGTCCCCAGGTCCCTGCGGTGATGACATTTAAGGCCCCTGCCACTCCTGCCCAGGGCCACAGGAATGCCCACTCAGTTTTCACAGAAGGTGTTCTGCCTTCCTCTGCCTGTCAAAGTTCTACCAGGAGGGCAGCCTCAAGGCTGGAGACCAAGTCTCCAAGAGGCCCAATAATACCCAGAGACACTGTCATATCCACACTGCATGCACTTGGTCCCCAAAGCCCCAGAATCACATGGAACTTGCAACAGCCACCCACACAGGCATGTTCACAGGCCAGTTCAGGTTATAGGGCTAGGGTGAGGGGGTGTCGTTTATAGGGCTAGGGTGAGGGGGCGTTGTTCTGGGTGGTCTGCTGAGGGTGGAAGCAGCCTGATAAACTGAGGGTATTCTCTTCCAGTTCCGGACCTTTGACCCCTGCAAACAACTATGGTGCAGCCACCCCGACAACCCTTACTTTTGCAAGACAAAGAAGGGTCCCCCACTGGACGGGACTATGTGTGCACCTGGCAAGGTGAGTCAGAATTAAGGGTTCTTCATGGCTTACCAGGCATCGTGCTTAAGTCACACAATAACCAGAGACAGGCTCTGCAGTGTCTGTAAAGGGACCAGGAATCTTGTTAGGAGGCCCCAGATGTTCTCTTTCTTGCTTCCCCACCCATTTTGATATGCCCTGTCATGTAGCCCAGGCTGGTCTTAAACTTGATATGCAGCTAAGGATGACCTTGAACTTCTGATCCTCTTGTCTCTACCTGCCTAGTGTTAGGATTGCAGGCATGTGCCACCGTGCCAGGTTTATGAGGTCCTAGGGATAGAACCCAGGACTTCCTGCATACCAGAGAAACATGCTAACCGAGCTACAGCCCCAACCTTCATTTCTACTTTTAGTCACTCTCCACACTGGACAGATTGGAGCTTCCAACACCATAGCAGGCCCATCATCTCAAGATTCCTTCCTGCCCATTGTGGGTGGTCATGGGTCACTTTGTCATGAAGCCAGCATGAGCCAGCATGAGGTACAGCCTGAGGGTTAGCCTTGACAGCCTCAGGGCCTCTGGTTTGTCCCTTGTCAAGATCATTCACTGCTTAGCCAACCACCCTCTCCACAAGTCTGCAGAAAGTATTCTTTTCCTGTTTGTCCAGCCAAGATTCTAGACCCTATTCTTATTGGTTCTGGTGAAATAAGATGCTCACTCCTTAGCCAATCATTTTCTAGGGGCTTGGCATATGCAGATGAGCTTAAACCAAAATGGCTTCCCCTCAGGGCTCAGTCAAGCTTGGAACTAGACATCCCTCAGGTGTCACCATGTGGGTGAATTTCCCTTATCCCTGTGATAAGGACACTGATCCATTTCATGAGGGCCATGACTTAATGAACTCCTCACAGATGCACCTCCACACCAGATGCATCACACTGGGGATTAAGTCCACAGTGTCCCTCCTGGCCTGTCAGTTCTACCTCCTCCACCAGCTGACAGAAACATGAGCCAACATGTCTGTGAGTTCATCTCCTCCTCAGTGTTGAAGTGAGGGAAGCTTTATTGGGAGAGCTGAAGTAACTGTGGCCCAGAGAGGACATGCAGGAATCACTTAGTCTGTTTGTCCAGCCTGACAGCATTAGGTCGAGCCCTTGACACATACTCAGAGCTCTGAGAGGGAGACTCCAGAGAAGGACAGCCACTTCAGGCATTAGTGTCAGGTCTCTCCTACCTTATGGATGCCAGGGATCAAACTTAGGTTGTCAGGCTTGGTGGCAATTGCCTTTATTTGCTGAACCATCTTGCTGACTCCACAATTCATAGTCTGGTGCTCCAAACAGACTCAAGTACATACATGCACCCTCACTCTCATATTTACATGTGAAGTATGTTTTTTCACATACATTCAAGCATATATGCAACACAGACATGCACACATACATAAGCACTCATGCATGCAAAAATAATGGTTTTCCAGTTTGGGTCATTTGTGGAAATTGTGCTGTTATTTGTCTTTTTTGAGTCATGTTTTCTTATTCTAAATCAACAATGCAGTTGTTGGATTGTGAAGGACTGAAATGCTAATTTACTGTTTTTTATTTTGGAATCTTCTTAACGTGGGCTTCTTATAGGGTTTTATAAGCTTCCTCCCCTGGGAAGAATAAGACAATGGAATTTAGTGGTTTTCCCACTCCAGTGTTCTGCTTCCTAAGTTCTTGGTCTTCCTCCTCCATACCCTGAGGCTACTTAGACCTGATAATGCCTCCAAGATCTCTGTTCTTCTTATTGCATCTTTGTCCAGGCACATGGGGACATTTAACCTGGGAACATGCTATGTCATAGGCACAGTGGTTCGGAGTAGGCTGAACAAGGCCCTGAAGGGTAGGTCTGGACATCCCATTCCACTTATTGTCACAGGCCAGGCGAGGCCTGTTTGACTTAAGTGCTTTGATTTTTAGGGACAGGAAGATCAGACACTATAGTCCCTAGCCCCATGCCTTCAGAGCAGGCTCAGGGCAGCCATTGCAGACACCACCCCACTGAGGGGAGTAGGCCTCCCCTGCAATTCTGGTGTAGGCAATGGGTCAAAGGAGTGCCTTCTTGTCTTGGTAATTACGTTTGTTGTTTTTAATTTGGGGGGTAAGGCATGTGCTGCAGAAGTCAGAATATAACACGGGGACATCATTTCTCAGGCCAGTAAGCAGCAAGGGCCTTTACCCAATGAGCTGTCTCACCAGCCCACCTTCCTATCTTTTAGCATTGCTTTAAAGGCCACTGCATCTGGCTGACACCTGACATCCTCAAACGAGATGGCAACTGGGGAGCCTGGACTCCTTTCGGCTCCTGCTCACGCACCTGCGGCACAGGTGTAAAGTTCAGGACCCGCCAGTGTGACAACCCACAGTGAGTTGACCTGACGTTACCAGATTCTTCCAGGGGGCCTTGGACATTTCGGCATACAAGGTTCAGGGAGAGTGCAAGGAAAACCCTCCAGTCTTTATTTCTCCTCAGGAGGAAGCTGGGGTGCTGAGGAAGGGCTGGCTCTTTTCCTGGCTCACAGACCACCATACCCTGGAAACATCAATTCTTGGTCACTACCTGGGGCCCACAGTCCACTCTAGACATAGGCTTCCTCTGCCCTTCTTGGCCTTGGGGGAGTGGAGAATAGAAAGGTGGGACAGAGATGGGGATCTGGGAGTCCCAGAGGAGGGTGTCATGGGTCCCAGGATGCCAGCAGCCTAGACAGTGGCAACTGGAGCCAAGCAGACATTTTGTAGTCGGATGAGAGACAGGGGCAGGAGCTGCCCCTCATACCCCAACCCCCAGATTTATTACCTTCAGTCCCTCCCTCCCTCCTTCCCTGCAGGCCCTGTGACTGTTCGCACACATGGTGGGGTCATTGTCTACCTTGTGTTGGACTATCTGGTGATTTAATTTTGTTTTACCTGAAAATATTGTCAATCTAGAATGTCACGTATGACCATAAACTGATTGCCAGCCCCTAAGTGGGCAAGGTGCAGGCTGACTTGGACATATCCAGTCTGTCTGGTCTCATTGAGAACACTAGTTAGAGTTAATATTAATTGTGACAAAACACCATGACCAAAAAGCAAGTTGAGGAGGAAAAGGGTTTATTCCACTTTCACATTGCTGTTCATCACTGAAGGACATCAGGACAGGAACCCAAGCAGGGCAGGAGCCCAGAGGCAGGAACTGATGCAGAGGCCATGGAGGGGTGCTGCTTACCAACTCACTTCCCTGGCTTGTTCGGCCTGCTTTCTTATAGAACCCAGGGCAACCAGCCCAGGGACGCCACCACCCACAATGGACTAGGCCCTCCCCCACTGATCACTAAGAAAATTCACTTCAGCTCGATCTTATGGAGGCATTTCCTCAACTGAGGCTCCTTCCTCTCTGATGATTCTAGCTTGTGTCAGGTTGACACAAAGCCAGTCAGTACAAACTCCTATTCTCTGTTCCCCTGAGGCAGCTGTACTGTTTCTGTCAGACCTAACAGTGTCCCCAGGGAACCAAGGAGATAGGCAGTTACACTGTGGGGAAAAGGGCCAAGTCTTTATCAAGGACAAGGATAGACGACCTGTATCTGGTCACCCCATCTGTACATGGAACACTTTTGGGACCCCAGGCTGTCCTCCTGAAAAGAGCCTGGAGGGAAGGTGGAGCACTGTGGCCCTTGAGCAACCCTGAGGGATTTTTCTCTTGCTTTGGGAAGAAAGCTAGAGCCCAGGGGAGAGCTAGAACCACAAAAGGCCCTGGTGGGGTAAAACTGTTTTCTGCATAGTGAGGAAGTTACCAAAGCTGTATTCTCTAAGGTAGAGAGACCCAGCCCTACACCAGACACCTGATAGGGACTTGTGCATGTGTAGTTCCACAATTTCAGGATTGTTCTGGGTGTTTTCTGCCCTGTGACAGTTCTATATCTATGTGCCCAGGACCTGGTCGTAAGGGAAACTCAACTAGCTCTGGTTATCCTGGGATTTGTAATCCAGTGGGGCAGGCAGAATTGTAACATGCAGTCACAGATCTGTATTCCTTAACCATCCTGAGCATCAAAGCCAGGGTGAAGGTGGCATGCCCAGGGAAGATGCTACCTTCTCATGAGAGCACAGATGGGGGATGGGGTTACTGCCATGTGCTGCTATTCTTGATGTCCCAGGGCCTGCCTGGCTGGGGAGCTACCCGGGTCCTGGTAGGGGTGTATCTCTTTACTCAGTAGAGGTGCCCCTTTCATACCTGAGACTCAAGGATTTCCCCACAAATGCCATCCATGGGCAGGTCTTTTCCTAGAGGCCCCAAGAAGGGGAACCTTTGATTTCTCTCGCAGCCCAGCCAACGGGGGCCGCACCTGCTCTGGCCTGGCCTACGACTTCCAGCTCTGCAACCCCCAGGACCCCCCGGGGCTGGCTGCCGGGAGGGGTGGGGCCACCAGTGGGACCTGTACTTTGAGCACGGCGATGGCCAGCACCACTGGCTGCCCCATGAGCACCGGGATGGTGAGCTTCCCGGGGAGGGCAGAGGTGGGATTCAGCACAGAACCCCGGGTGGGGCAAGTAGGGCAGACATTGTTTTATACCTTTGATCCTGCATGGGGCAAAGCTGTGGTGACACTTGGGCCAGAAACTAGGCATAGTGCTGACTAGTGTGACTGCAGGATCCCACACCTGAGCAAGGGCTCTGGGCTGAGGGCAGGGCTTCTGTCCCAGAGGAACCAGAACACTGGCCATGCAGAGGCTTCTGGGATGGAAGCTTAGAGGGTACAAACTCCTACAGCGACCATCCCGTGATCCAGGCTAGAGTTGCATGGTGCCACAAGACTGGGATGGGAGCAGATGTTGACCCTGCAAAGCAATCAGGTGACTTCTGATAGGTAGTTTCCTTCCTGTACTGTGACAAAATACCTCAACAAGAACAAGAAAGGGTTTGTTCAAGTAAACAGTTCCAGGTCTCAATCCATCGTAAAAGGGAAGTCAAGGCCACAGGCACCTCATACATTCACAGTCAAGAGCAGAGACAGAATGGATGCATGAATGCACTCGTGAGCTCAGCTCTTTCTCCCTCTTATACAATCCGGGACCCAAACCCAGGGAACGGCGCTACTCACTTTCAGGCTGGGTCTTCCCACATTGGGTAAAGCAATGAAGACAATCCCATACACACAGGCCTCAGGCCAGCCTAATCTAGACCATCCCTCAATGGGCTCCTGCCCAGGAAATTCAAGACCGAGTCAGGTTGGTAATTGAAATCAACTGTCACAGCACTCTCTCTCACTGTCTTTGTGATCGGCAGAAACTGAACCAAAAAGGTGAAGCATTAAATGGCATCTATTTTGTGTCTTACAGTGTTGGAAAATTAGTAGCTTTAGGCTGAAGAGCGCTTGGTAATTGCCCCTTTGTTTTAGTGCCCCCTCACTATCGGACACCCAGCCACACACACACACACACACACACACACACACACACACACACACGCATTCCTCTCATGGCTCTTTATTCTTTTTTTGTTTGTTTTTTGTTTTTGTTTTTGTTTTTTGTTTTTGTTTTTTTGAGACAGGGTTTCTCTGTGGCTTTGGAGACTGTCCTGGAACTAGCTCTTGTAGACCAGGCTGGCCTCGAACTCACAGAGATCCGCCTGTCTCTGCCTCCCAAGTGCTGGGATTAAAGGCGTGCGCCACCAGCTCCCTGCTGGCTCTTTATTCTTTAAGAAATGTTCTTCCCAAAAGTTCTCTCTCAAAAACTGCTCTTTCCCTAAAGGGTCTCTTTAAATTCTCTTCAGATCTAAAAAATCCTTCTAAAAAGTCTAAAGGTTCTCCACCAGGTTCCTTCTCATCCCACAAGGCTTCTAGTTTTTATACCCATGGGCACATTCAACAACTCTCAAAAGACAGGGCATGTATATCTCTTAGAGGCAGGAAGGTGATAGGAATTTGAGAAAAGCAGGCACTTCAGGTCTCCCCGCCCTGGATATGAAGTGCTGTTAACTCATTAAAAGGGATTTTTCAGTGCTATATCAAAGGGAAAAACAAAGGCTATGTAGTGTGAGATCCAGAAGCTGCAGCTCTTACTGCTGACACCCTGGTGAGAAGGAATTTCCTTTTCCTTTCTCTGGGGCCTATTTGAGAATATAAAGCACCCAGTATATATTCTACATACAGCCAAATTCATAGTAACATATTCTGGAGTTGATACCTAGACTATTAATTGCAACCTCTGTAATAAAGGCTTGTAGCACCTAACATGCCAGTGATGCTATGAAAATGGTTATATAGTTACTTTTCTATTTCTGTGACAAAGCACCATGACCAAAGATGGATATATATCACATTTGACTTGGCTTATGGTTTCAGAGGGTTAGAGTCCATGATGACGGACTGAAAGAAGAGCTGAGAGTTCACATCTTTATATGTAACAATGGGGCAGAGAGTGAGCAAGCACTGCCCTCCCGCAGCACCCCTGTGACACATCCCTCCCAGCAAGGCACACCTCCTACTCCTTCCCCACACGTCCTAATCTTTCCCAAACAGTTCCACCGAGAACCAAGGATTCAAACAGATGAGCCATTCACATTCAAACCACCACAGTTGTTAATCTGCACTAGAAAATAACAAGGAAATGTGCATACAAGGTCAGTGCAGATGCAATTCCTTTTCAAAGATTTTCATTCTGTTGTGGGTTGAACCCACAGATGGAGGGCATGATTACAAAAGACTAGTTCTATTCCATTTGAGTCCTTCTCCCTTCCATGTGTGTGTTTTAAACACACACTTTCTGTTCCCTGCCCCAAGCACTGGGCAGGGATAGGGACTGTGTGTGAGCCTGGGGCACTGATTGGAGTCACCAGCTTGTGACTCACATGTGCTAATGCAGGGTTGAGGGACGACAGAGCTGATAGGGCTGGAGGACACCCAGCCTGGTGACCCAGTGTATCAATTGCTTCTGATAAATTAATGCAGAACAAGGGAAGTGTTAGGGACTAGAGATTGACTCCAAGAGGGACTGGCTGAATCTGGTTGATTGAAAACGACTCTTTCTCTTTTTAATCAGTATCCTTCATTAAACAAAATAATTGGTTTCACTGTGACACTTAAATACATGTCTGTCTTATTTTGATCACGTATTGCCTCCATTATCTTCTCCCCACACTAAATATATATATATGTGGGGTAGGGGCAGATTCTACACATGAGAGAATATGTGATACTTGTTTTTCTCTAGCAGGCTTAATTTGCTTAATATGATAAATCTCAAGTTACACCCATCTTCCTGAAAACAATGCAGTTGTCTTCTTCCCTATGTCTGAATACAACTCCATGAATACATATCACATTTTCTTTATCCATTCCTCTGCTGATAGATTCCTAAGCTGATTCCATACCTTGGCTCTTGTGAACAGTTCGGATGTGCAGCGTCTCTATGGTGTGCTGACTTAGACTCCTTTGGATGTATTCCCGGGAGTGGTACAGCACAGCACATGGGAATCTTAGGTTTAGTTTCCTAAGGAGTGCCCACACTGATCTCCACAGTGGCTGCACTCATTCACACTCCTGCCCCCAGTGAGGGAGGGATCCAAAGAACGATCTTTAGATGGAGACTAGGAAAAGAGCCCTCCCTTTGCCTCTGCAGAGTCAAGGGTCTCCATCAGGCAGGGCCGTGAGGATGGAGGTTGCTAGCCATATACACATCCTGGCTGGATCACTAGGGAAATCACTTCCTAAGGCTTGATAGCATCAGAGTCAAAGTCTCAGAAGCCCAACAAGGTAGGAAGAAGGTTGCCATCACCTGTCCCTCTGTGTGTGTGTCCTCCCAGAGCACAGATTTCAGGGACTGGGGGTGGGCAGCTGAGCTCTAAGAACATTGGGGATTTTCTCTCTGGTGTGGTGCTCCTTGGAAAAGGCTCCGTCCTAACACTCTGCCTCTTCCCTTCCAGCCAAGGAGAGATGCCACCTCTACTGCGAGTCCAAGGAGACAGGGGAAGTGGTGTCTATGAAGCGTATGGTACACGATGGGACACGCTGCTCCTACAAGGACGCCTTCAGCCTCTGTGTGCGTGGGGACTGCAAGGTGAGTGTTATGAGGCAGCGTGGACCAAGGCTCAGGGTTGCCACCTCCTGGGATCCTCTCTTGATATGTTCAGGACTCCTTGCCTAGGGGATGGTGCTACCCATGGTGGGCTGGGCTTTCCCAAATCAATGAACAATCTAGACAGTCCTCATGACAGACTTTCTGGTTCTGGTGCACAGACACAAGGGCGACAAGTCCTATGGAATGTGGGATCTGGGCTCAGACTAAGCTCTCCATGCTTAGCAGGCAAGCCTCAGTGTCTCCAGGCTGTTTCAGGGAATGAGCAGGTTGTAAAAACAACGTCAAGAGCCCCTTTCACTAGGCTCTGACCCTCGAAGATTCCACCACCTCATTGTTGCTCCACCGGAACAACGCAGCCTAAACTTTGAGAAGAGCCCCTCAGGGCCGCCTTGGGAATATACTAGGTGGATGTTCTTGGAGAAGGGCAGTGCGGAGGGGCTGAGGACAGAGGTACTGTCATAGGATAGGCATGAACTGAGGCAAGGAGAAGGCGCATGGTTCATCAGGGCCATGTGGGGTCTGCCTCTCTCCAAAGCCCTTATTCCCCTGTGTCAGGAGATGCTAAGAAGGGATATACAGATTTTGCTGTAAGAGGGATCAGATACTAACAGCACTAGGGGACTCAGGCATAAGCAAGGATGAGGTCTCAAAGGTTCCCCTGCCCTCTCTTGCCCTGCAGAAGGTGGGCTGTGATGGGGTGATTGGCTCTCGTAAGCAAGAGGACAAGTGTGGAGTGTGTGGAGGCGACAACACCCACTGTAAAGTGGTGAAGGGCACGTTCACGAGGTCCCCGAGGAAGCAAGGAGGAAAGCCCATCTTCTGCCCTGGGGTGGGATGTCAGCTGCACATTGTGGGGCTAGGGCCTGAATGCCCCTACCCCTGGGACTCTGTATAGGCCTGTGACAGTTTGGAGCTTGGGGCTGCGAGGGTCAGGGGGAAAGGAGACCTGACTGGGGATCTTGAGTCTGAGCTACAATGGGTGTGGAGGATGGAGAACAGGGCCTGGGTTATAGGTGAACGTCAGACGTCTGAGGTCAGAGATCCACAAAGGTCAGTCCCCTCAGCCCTCCAGGATGCCCAGCTGCTTGTCATTTGCTCCCTCCCTCTCTCCTGCCCACAGATAGCTGCCATCAGGACTTCCCTGAGTCTAGCACATGGGGGACACCCACAAGCCTCATCCAAAACACAACAGCCTGGTACCGATGCAGTGCTACCTTCTAGTCCTGTGTGTTGGCCCACAGCAGCAGACCACATCCCTGTGGTCTGTCAGTCTGACTCTGACATGAGGACAAGCCTCTTTAGTTTTCTTGTGAAAGGCCACAGAGCAAACATGTAGGCTCCTGCAAGGAGCTGTAAGACAGGGAGGGCCTTTGGGGTTAGGTGCTGAGCACTGGCCTTGCCACCCCCACACATGGGATTCTAACATGGTTTGCAGATGAAGGACTGAGGTGTAGATAGGCCACGTGGCTTACCTGGGGCCTCCCTACTAGATAAGGCATGTTAAAGACTCCCAGCGTGGCTGGAGACTGGATTCCCACTTGAGTGTTCAGTGGAGGAGGCAGCATTAAGATACCTGGATTTGAAGATGAGGAGAATTGCAGGGTAAGGAGTGTCAGGGCGCTCCAGTCGACCCCTCTCCTACCAAGCAGAGTTGGGAGTGCCTGTGGTGGAACTGCCTTGGAGGGCAGGCTTCTCCTGGGATGTGTGCATTGGAATGGCTTCCTGTCTTCTCATCTGGCTTCCTCCCTCCCCCCCAAAGAGTACATCAAGATGTTTGAGATTCCCGCTGGAGCCAGACACCTGCTCATCCAGGAGGCCGACACCACTAGCCACTATCTGTGTGAGTCAGAGCCCACACCTGTGAGACCCAGTTCTTTTGGGATGGGCAGAGTACCAATGGTCAGAGCAGAGTACCAGAGCTCGGAAGCTTGGCTTGTGTGCCCAGGTCCTGAGAGCAACAGCCCGATGGACAGACGTGCCTCAGCCCCAGACCACCTCCTGGGCTTTCATACATGCATCTTCTGGGGGAGGCCAGAGCTTGGGGTCAGAGGGCACCTTTGGCAGCAGCCACAGGCCATGTTCCTCCAGTCTGTAGAAGCATGGAAGACCACCCTGTCTGAGGGCATGGGACTAGGCAGTAGGTCCCACACTGAGGTTAGCCTGGTCTTGGTAGAGCAACCCAAAACAGGGTGTGGCTCCCAAAGCAAGTTGGGATACTATTGGCAAGGACAGACACCCCCCAGTGGCAGCTGGTGGGGCTGAGAAAAACCCTGTGACCGCCCCCCCCCCATAGTACAAGCATGCTGGAGGGACTGCCTGCTCCTTTTTACCATTCTCAGCTGTCAAGAACCTAGAGACAGGCAAGTTCATCTTAAATGAAGAGAACCACTTGGACCCCAATTCTAGAACCTTCATTGCCATGGGTGTAGAGTGGGAATACAGGAATGAAGATGAGAGGGAGACGCTGCAGACCATAGGCCCTCTCCATGGAACCATCACTGTGCTGGTAAGTACTGTGCCAGCCTGTGGGTGCACATGGCCCCAGGAAAAGATGGGAGCCCTGGGATGTCCAAGCTCCCTCTGCATTCAGGCTTTGCTCTAAGCAGCCTCTTACCCTGACATGGTCTCCACCTCCAAGTCAGCCATGTGTGGACATCCTCCCCCCTACCCCCCACCAGGGTTCTGGTTTCTGCACCAGCTCTTACTGACTGTGGGCAATCTCCTCTCTAGAGGTTTCCATTTTTTCTATTTGAGTGACGTTCACAGCTTATACCATCAGATACATTAACCTCTGATGTTGTACTGAAATTCTCACACCTGAGAGATCAGAAACCAGCGTCTAGTCACACTGAACTTTGTGATCAAGCAGGACTGGATTCCAGGTCTCCTGAGTGTAGGATCACAGGCTGCTCCTGGTTGTAGAGAGTCCTGAGGGGGCTGGATGTTCGAATCACTTTAAATTTCTTAGTTTTAATTCATTGCTTAAGTGATATAGTTTGTTTATCAAAGCAAACAAACACACTGAGCCAGGTACGGTGTCATGCACCTGCAATCCCAGCTCTCAGGTGGCAAAGCAAGAAGATTAAAGCAAGCTCCAGGGCAGCCTGGTCTACACAGAAAGTTCCAGGCCAACTGGGACAACTTAACAAGACCCTGTCTCAAAAATGGTGAGCTATAGAGAGAGGGAGGGCTGGAGATATGGCTCAGAAGGTAAGGATACTCACTGCTCGACCAGAAGACTAGAATTTGTACCCTAGCACCCGCAGCAGACAGTTTGCAAATGCCTATAACTCTAGCTCCTAGGGAGTCAACACCCCTGTCGGGTCCCTATGGGCACTGAATGAGTGAATGTACAAAAAAATAAATCAATAAAATGTAATTTTAAAATTTTCTTAATATTGTGACCAGCAGCCTGTGAGATCCTAAATAGTTGGATTCTCCTTAGTGGTTACATCCTCATAAACCCATAAACATGTCATACAAAGTGCAATGGCTGCGCCTAAACTACAGCCACCGCCGGCATCACAAGAGGGTTGCACCATATCCCACTAGCCTGGGATAAGGTCCAAATTTCAAATTTCAAGTGCCATTGTAAAGTTGAAACGCCATTAAAGATGATCATCATAAGTCGGGGACTGTCTGTCTCCCCTGGTTTTCAGTCTACCCGGTGCCTCTAAGTTGGCTATAGAGGAAGGATGAAAAGCTAAGTGAACATACTCATGATCATGTTGGGGTGGGCCCAGGTTATCCCTGAAGGAGACTCTCGGATCTCACTGACATACAAATACATGATCCATGAAGACTCGCTCAATGTCGACGACAACAATGTCCTGGAAGATGACTCTGTGCGCCACGAGTGGGCCCTGAAAAAGTGGTCTCCCTGCTCCAAGCCCTGCGGTGGAGGTGAGGGGGGTTCTCACTGCTGGGGCTCCTGGGCTTGATTGGAGGTGGGACACCCCTGGGATGAAACTCAGTGTGAGCCTAGAGGAGTCAGGGCTAGTGGAATGGGCCAACCGTGACCTCCTGACTGCCTGACTGCAGTTCTGAGGCCAGTGAGTTTGTCCTGTGAGAAATATGAGAAGGGCCTGGGGGAACGGCCCAGCAGTGACCTCCACTGGAGTGATCAAAGGTTTAGCCTAGGCTGGGAAATGCCCATGAGTAGTTGGGAAGGGCAGGTGCTTGAGACATCAGGCAAAATGTAGCCACATTGGCCTGTAGGGTGTGGGTCACACCAGCATGGACTCTGTCAGGCTGCAGTACGAGCAGGACTCCAGAAGCACCAGGATACTTCCGGGGAGCTCCTTTCCCTAAGTCTATCCAGAAAAACTCCACCAACGTGATGGATCTAAATAGGGGCTGGGAGAGAGAGGGAAAGTGATCTCAAAGAATTCCACAAGGGGAGGGGGGAACCTCATCCTGAGCAATGGTACTCTTAGCTTTCTGTTCTGCCTCCATGGTGCCCCATCTTCACCTTCCACCTGCATCTCACCAGCAGGCCCTGCTGATTCTTGGCCCTCTGGTCCAGCACCATCCTCCCACTGGCCTTTGTGAGTCTGCTCTAGGTCCAGGGATGACTTTTTAATGAATGAGGGCTGGAGAGACAGATAAGTAGTTAACACATTTGCCTTGTGAGCCTGGGCAACAGAGCTCAGATCCCACAACCTATGTAAAAGTGGGATGGACATGGAAGCTCTCCTGTAACTCCAGCCTCAGAAGGCAACAGACTAGGAGATCCCCAGAGCAAGCTGGCTATGGATACTACCCACATTGGCAAGCGCTAGATTTGATTATGAGGCTCTGTGTCATAAATAAAATGGAAGAGAAATCAAGAATGATTGCTGACATCAACCTCAGGTCCCCAGAGTCCTCATACAAGAGTTCACACACACAAATGGGAAACTAAAATAAAGGTATGAACCAGACCCTTCCCTGTCCTGTAGTTTAACACCACCAGTAGCGCCCTCCTTTTGTGAGACAAAAGCCTCTGAGGCCCAGGGAAGCATCTGTGCACCTAAGGTTATTTGCCTTACCTCCAATCTTAGCCATGCCAACCTTGGGTGTAGTGTTTGTTTTCCATCATCATCATGAACCCTTGAAACAATCAACTTATAAAGAAGAAAAGTGTATTTTCACTCACAATTTTGGAGGCTTTGTCCCATGGCTAGTGGGTCTCATTGCTTTGGGCTGTCTTGAGGCCGCAGATCCTGGCAGGAGCAGATAGACGGCAGAAGAAGCTGCTTGCTGCCTGGCCTGCCTAGCCTAGCAGGTGGCTGGGAAGCCAGGAGAGGGAGAAAGGGCTGGATTCCCAGTCTCCCCTTTCAAGAGCCCATCCACAGTGACCTCTTGAAGGCCCCGCCCCACAGGAGCCAGTGATATAAAGGAGCCAGGCAGGCCAGGTGTCCTGTGTTGATCAAATCCTGGTTCATCTCAGACTCCAAGACAGAGTAAATGGCTAAGTGATGGAGGGTAGCAGGGCCATCCTTGTGACCCCAGAAGTCATCAAGAGCCTGTATTCTTACCCTCCCTCTGATGGGGTGAAAGGTGAATTCCTAGATAGATGTCTCCAAGGCTCCCTCCCCACCCTCCATGTCATCTTAAGGACAAGGAGGAATAGAGCATGGTGGCACAAGCCTGTAATCCTAGCTCTTGGAGGGCTGAAGCAGACAGATTACAAATTTGAGGGAATACTGGGACAAAGAATGAGTTCAATGCTAACCTGGACTAGATAGGAAGAAACAAACAGAGGAGAGAGGAGAAGAGGGCTAAAACTGCTGGTTGAAGCCCCACCTCTCCAAGCCCCCTTGGGGGGTCCCACTGCCCCATTGAGCCCCTT